ATTGGGTATTTCTCCCCTGCCTATTGTTAAACAAATTCAAAAAGCGATATATTGCACGATAAAAACTGGAAAAATATACGGATTTATTTAGGGCATAGCTTGCGTTTGTTTTCGAATTTAACCTTCGCTGCGTGCTGTTTATTCGTAAGAGATTATTCATCAAACTAACAAAGTACTTCACTACCTCCACTTGTTTGTCCAAAACAAGTATATCTACATCCACGCATTTACTAGAAGGATACAAACTTTCCAAACTATAGGTACTAAAAAGTACAATAGTCTTGAATAAAACTGAAACTTTAATGAATTTATATCAAATAATGAATGAGTATGACGTAGGAAATCAAAATTTGTAATGTAGACAAGGATATCCATACGTCTAAAATAAATTAAAATGAAAAATATTTTTCCAATAAGGTTAAATTAAAAAATATATATCAAGTCTTTTTGTATGTAAAGAACCCCTAATAACTCCTAACTATTTGTAGTGAACCTAAAACTATTTGACGAGCCTTACACAGAACTAAACTTTTATTTTACCTTTAATTCCCAATACTCGTTAAACATGACAATACATATACCTCATTGCAAGACGATATTAACATAATAAAACGCATTGAATATCGCAAAACTTATTTCAACAAAATATACCGTGGTTAACTCTAACTATCTAAAATTTCGATAATTTCAATAATATAACAAATTAGTAAAAAAATGTACATCAAGTAATGGTGGTGTTAGAATGTCCACTATCCTATTTCATCTCGTGGATGTTTTAAGGCGTTTCCCGGACCAAATAACCTTGAGCATGCAGTGCACTGCCGCTCTCACTCTGCGTACGCCCATTTATCATAGAATTCAAACAATTTTTGGAATTAATTTTAATTAAAAAAGAAAAGCGAACTTTAAAAATTAAATAAAACGTGAATAATATAAATTTTTAAATTATCTATCCATTAGTGTAATTCTGAAATGATTAGAGCATTGCCTTTAGCAACAGATGCATGTAATAAATAATTTTAGTCATTTTTAATAGTAGATTTTAAATGTATTTATAACACATAAAACTAAATTAGAACGTGGAATGTGATGATAGGATATCGAACATTAATAATGTGCTTTTAAATGTAGTTTATTTCTCATAACTAATGAGATAATAGTCTCTGAAATACGAAGAAAAACGCATTATCGCAAGGTTTTGGTCGGGGTATCGCCTTAAGAGGCAACAAAGGAAAACTAAAACAGGTGATGGGCAGCACCATCCCGATAAACTAAAAAAAAACAACTCGCTTTCCAAACGCGGCAACTATAGGAAGTATTGAGATAATCTATGGAAAGGCCTATGTTATATTGTTTGGGAGTCTATGCTATATTCTAAATCATCACTCTGTCAAATTTCAGTTCATACAGTCTAAAAGGATGGTTTTGAGTCACCCGCATTTAGTGACATTGCATTCTTGGCATATTTAAGTAAGCCAGCGTTAAACTGTCATAGGAGAACACTTCTTTTCTATCTAATGCCGAATCTTCAAGGTATATTGCTGGCTGAAGGTTATATAGCAATGAAGAAGCGACGCTACTTCGGCTTACAATCTACGAATCTTTAAGCTGAAGCAAAAAAACCTAGCAAAGCTACTTCAGTTGATCAATATGCTGAACCGGATATGTTTGATTTTGTTGGCGGATGATAGAGCCGACCTTATACGAATTCTAGGTAGGTTTTTATACTAAAAACTTTCTCACTGAAAGTTGAAGCTTAAAGTTTTTAGAATTGACGAAAGGAAAAAGAAAAAATAAGTTTTGTCGTAACTTGTCGAGGGAAATTAATGCTTCCTAGTTATTCCAACTTTCGTTGTGGTCTCTTTAGTGAACAAAAAGTCAATACCAATTTTTATTACTGATTTAATGAGTTTTAGCATGGTCGAATAATGCCACTGAGTGTGCGAGGGGCGATTTTTAATGACACCATCACAAAATAATTTCAGTTCATCACTCCATCTAGTAGGGAGACGTCCTACACTTCGACAACCAGTACGAGGCTGCCACTCGAGAACTTCATTCCCCATTGGTTGTCGTTTCTTCGAGTTATATGACAGGCCCATTGCCACTTATACTTGATGCTCAGCCAAGAACCTTGTTTTTATAGAATAGGGTGACAAACGAGCATACAGTCCACCTGATGGTAAGCGGTTGCTGTGACCCATAGACATCTACATCTATCGTCAATAAAGAATCAAAATGCAGATGCGTTGTCATCCGTGAGGACTAAGATGGAATGCCTCTTTTCCAGTAAAAAGGGTCTTCGGTTCTCTACACTCACCATATGAAACACAACAGCGTTAAGCTGCTATTTTACGCTAGTATTCTGTGAGAGCGTCGTCCTTCCCCGGTCGAGCCGACTCATTCGTACAACAAGTAAACTACTAATATAGCTGCAGCATGGCTCTGCCACGTATAAGACCTACAACTGATGTGGAAGAAAGGTACTTAAGTGGCAGCCTTGAACAGGTCAGCGAAGTGTAGTTTATCCCTCACTAGCTAAAGTGATGATCTAATATGATGCAGGAAGTCGATGATGTTAGGCGGCTTGGGACCGTGCCTGTAACATTCCTTGAAGAGGCTTATGCAGAGTACTTGTGATGGATTTTAATGATGATGGTGATGATTAATGCCGAGTCATTGGCATTTCCGTTACTGAAAATTTATTAATCATTTTTTTTGTGTTCATAATCACTAAAATATTTCGAATTCTCTGTATTGTTTTGTAACTGCAAATAGTTTTTTCTTTCTCTCTACCAACATAATTGGTAAAACATAGAAGAAAAGCTACGAAACAAATGCCGATTCATATTATGTTTTAACATCGGCTCCGTTAAACAAAATAAACCAAAATGCAAGCTGCACAGTGTGTTAAGGCTAGAATATGTAGGAATAGGTAATATTTTTTCGATTCATTTCTTACTTTGGTTTGTATGTGTACAGAATTGGATCAATTCATCTATTATTTTCAACTTTAGTTCGACGACGACTATTGTCGTATTTTGGATTATTAGTTCGACGTGGGCAGAGATTTATTTTTATACGGTCATTTTGTGATAAACGAGAATATATAATATGAAGTTTATACTGCAACCTTTAGACCTGCAACTAGCATCATAACAAGAAGGCTGCTGATGTGGTGTCACCTCTATATATGGTAGGAATATGATGTGACGCCTTACATCAGATTACATTATATATATCACAATCAAAATTCCTTTACACATGTAAATAAATGTCGGAATATCATCATGTGTATCACCATCCTTACAACTTTTTATTAAGTCTATTATTAAGCATAGATCACTATTAAGGAGTGTCATTAAAACGATAATGAACCACATCCTCAGGTTCGTTAATTTTATAACTCTACTATCAATCCGCACCGGCTGGTAGTTTCTGGATTTCAACAAGAGCTCCACCTACCGGGTCTAATTGTGAATCTAAACTATACAAGAATCTACTCAAAAACACACAAAACACACTCAAAATTCATCAGAATCGGTCCAGTCAGTTTCCAGTTTTAGAGAGACTAACGGATTTTTATTTGTAGAGATAATATGTCACAATATATTTATTCATATCCAGCAAGTGGCGGTAAACCATCTCGTGTATCATTATCCTTACTAGCTAGTCCATCGCTGAACATAGGTCACCAAGGAATGTCAGAACCGTGGTAATACTTAAATAAGATTAGTGAGCCTTATTTTGAATCATATTGATTCTTATTTTTCTTCTTTATTGGGTCGTAAAAATCCACAGTTGAACATGTGCTCTCCCAAAGGACGGCTTGTCCAAATTGTCGCGCCTGGCAGGCAGTTTAACGATAACTATAATCGGTGTTTTGAAGGCCTAAGAAAATATATCGCTTCATTTCATCCAATAAATGTCGTAAGAGGCGACTAAGAGAAATTCCAGAAAGATCTTACAGATAGTGGATTTACGGGCTGGTGAAGAAAAAGTCATCAGATTATATTAGTCTAAGTTTTTTTTTTTTATGTTAACACCACAAACTTTTGGCAAGAACTAAGATTTTTCTTAGTGATACGTTTTGACACAAAACGTTCTTATTTTTCGAACTTTATAATACTTTTTATTATTGACTCAACGTGCAAGGACCCGCTTACGGATCCTGTGTTAGAATAATAGAAATTTTTTAATTTTACAAAATTATTTTATAATGAAGCTGTTTATTGTAACGTCAACATGACTATAAATCTACTACCGTTTAAAACAGGTTCCTCCGCCCGAAGAAGATACGGGGAATGAAACTACGCAGAAATTCTCCTTTCGTTATGTTTTTAAAGTTCTACTTCTACTGGTGTTTGTCATCTTGTCTCTTTGTGCCGCCCTGTGACGTATCTTCGGACATCGATCATTTCTAATACTAATAGTTCGACCAAAACCCATTTCTGTAATTTAATATTAGTGCACTTGACAAACATAAAACAGGTGGGACATTTAAGTTTTTCTTTTACTATCGAAGCGCATTGAAACCTGGTTTCGCATATTACACATTTTAAAGATCTTTTGTTACAAATCAATTCAATATACGGAATAAGAAACATTTGGCCTTTGTACAAAAATATACGAAAGGTTATTGTTGGGTTATCACTCTGGTTACTATGTACCTAGTATTTTATTTTCTTAACACTCACTACCGATTCTTTTACAGACAGGGTCGATTGGGATCGAAACCATGATGGTAAACTATTTGTCGTATTATAATTTTCATCGTTTTAAAATAAATGAGACTGATTATCATCGTTTGTTATTGTCGAAGAAAACTTCTAGTGCTTTCAGCTATCAAGTGATGCAGTACAATTGACACCTTAACAAATATATTCTGATCTTCCCCTTCCTTACTTCGCATCGAAGCATACTCGACAATTTCAGGGAAGAGGAACTCCAGACTGTTTGAACTAATAGGGATAATGGGCCGTGGGATGTAGGGTGACACTGCAGTAAGTGCTGTGAATGAAGCCGAGCGACTCCCCGCCGTTCACACTCCGCGCAAGCGCGGGGATCTGCGCACGCATAAATACGTCCACACGAGGAGCAAGCGTCAGTCAATTTTGAAGCGCCACATGTGGCGCTCGTCTGCAACTGTATTGTATCACTCGAAATACTACGTACGCATCGCGCGCGACTTTCAAGGACTCTAAACAAGGTACTGTACTTTGGTTTCAAGTTATGTCTCGGTCGATAGGGATACAGGGGAGCGTGCCCCACTGTCACGCACCGCGGCGGTGGAAACTCCCCATTGGAGCACGTGCAGTGCAAGCGACTCTTGCCTCATGAGCGTTGCATTGCGAATTGCAACACCGGCCAAAATACCCGGTGCCATCGAATACGCTCGCGATATTTTGCATCGCGCTTGCTGTGCGAAGTTTCATTATATTTGTACATTCACTATTTAGGAAATTTGCGTACAATCCAAAAGGTTCAGGTTATCAACTTCTGATTTGATAAAGTGATCAACAAGCAAGACTATTGAAAGTAAACATTTTCTTTCTTATTATGTTTTTACGTTCTCTGTAACTTTGACTTCAGTAAGCATATATCTGTGGGAATCATGAACTACAAAAGTATCAATTAAAAAGATACTTTATTTCTCCCTAGAATAATTTTTAACAAACTGTATCAACTTTTTAATGATTTACATCATTTAATCACTATATGTACTACAATTATTGCGCGATACCAGATTATTGCAATGGTGCATCTTGTAGGTAGGTAGATCTCCCAACAAACTGTGATTGCGAAGTTAAATTCCTTAACAATTCGAAAACATTTTGCGCGTAAACACCGATACCAATATGACGAAAATCAAGATAAATACGTGCCTACCAACAACTGCTATTAGAACTTGTGCTTACAGATTAATTTTTGAACAGTATGGATTAAAAATAAATGTTTCTTTTTTTTTAAAGTTCTTTTTAAATGCAGCATTTTTTCGTTCATGGCCAGTGACAACTTTCTGCCGTACAAGTTGATTTTCTTGATTTTCTTACCGGACCGGTTTAGGTACAACTACTTCTGCTTTTGACCTTTTGACCTAAAAATAAATTGAAACCATTTTTGAAATTGATTTTCTTCAATTTAATGCACATGTTAAACGAAAAGTAATTGCATACAACTATTGGAACATGTTCTACTCAATTGACCAAAAGAGCTAAAGCATTATTTATAACTCAAGATTCCCCGCTCTGATTTCGAAAACGGAAGTTGTGGATGTAGATGTTAGAAGATAGCAAACCAAAATTAAAAATAAATAATAATTAAGATCGTATATACTTATTAGGTAATGTATTATAGTGTACTTTCTTTGTCATACCCACACAGTATACCTTATTTCCTGCATGTTTTGTTTATATGTATGTAAGTATTATGTATTTATTATCTGTATATTAATTTTTATTACCTATATTCTTAAATTATAATTATAGTGTATTGGAATATCCTAGCAGGTTCTGGCCTGCCTGCTGGAAGAAATATCAATATTATATAGGCAGTGCCTTTATATATAAATCACTTTTTTCTTTTTACTTTTTAAAAATAGCTTGTGTATACAAAACTTCTTAAAGTAAGCGAATCGGCAACGTGACATTCCATGCTGGTTTCTGATGATGTTTGCGCTGTTAGCCTTCTGGCTTTTACAGCTTCATCGGTCACATTCCATGCTGTAGTGAAGATAGTCGTTACTAAGTACGATGTGATTATAAATAATGTTTCTCTACACTGATAACTGATAAGAATTATTATATAACATATTATGTCGAATTATGAAGCATTCGTTTATCAGACACTTTATACAAAATAAAATTTTATTTTGAAACTTAAAAATTTGATTAGCTAATTATTACGCGTCATTAGTTCTTTGTGACTAATTACAATACAATACTTTCAATACGTTTATATGTCCCAGTATATTCAATTTTTTATCAACGACTTTTTCTGCCACCAGGGTGGCGCCACTTAAAAATGAGGTGTAACATTTGACAGATTTCATAGCGGGAAATTTAATTTGTTCGAAAATAGATTAAAAATAAATAAGCCATAAAAATTAAAGAGCAAACCACTGAGGCATTGTTTTGTGTATTAACGTAATAGGTACTCTAGAAACTGTTAAACTTTTATTTAAAACTAACTTCTCATCGTTTAACAAAAAACATCACCTCAATGTCAACTAGCGACATCTGATGAGCGGAAGATTATTAGCCTCATTAGTTGAATATTTTTTGGAAAAAGTTCGCCGATTTTTCTCAACTTATAAAAATTTCAAAAAAGCCTTTATTTATTTAAATTATAACTATTAATAATATTGGCATACTTTCAATATTTATCTTGTAAGTCCATTCTTGGAGAATGTCGCTGAACTAGGTAGTAATCACGTCGAGTAGTCACATTTTAATACGTAAGGAATAAAAAAATATCACTCTTTTGCAAAAATGTAGTATTTGTTGCAGATTTAGAATATAATACGACAAAAGAATGCAAAATTAGAAGTAAACAAAAAGTCAATGGACGCAAAATGAAAAGTAGCATAAATGAACAATAATAAAGAACTTTGAAGCAAAATAAATATATTAGAAAAATGCATTTATAGAAATTCATGAAATTAATGTACCCAAAAATCCTCAGGAAATAATTGCTCTAGTTTTTATATATATATATATATATATATATATATATATATATATATATATATTAAAATAAATAATTCTTGTTACTCGACATATAGTATAACATATTTATATAATTATATATTAAAACGTGAATAGAGAATTATGTTTGTAAACACAACAACAAAGAAGAGGTCAAAGACTGTTTGAAAGTTCGAAACAGCTGTATGAGTTTCAAAACGGTCAGATGCAACATCGCACGCAGTCGACACGTTGTTCGCAAAAATAAAAATGTCTGTGACTCATCTCCGGTCACACACCTACCCTTGCGTTCGTGGCCGCTAACTTTCCCGACTGTGTTTCCGAACTATTTATAATACTCTAAATCCGATCGTTAACGTAATTTCGTTTGTTGGTATAGTGCTCGGTGCAAAAGCACCGTACGCCGCGGAAATTCCATATCGAGTATTTGGTTTATAAACAAATTAAAAAAAAAGTTTGCTTGAGTGATGAACTTTATGGATATTTAGACATTTAAAGATATGTAAATGCATCATATTTAAAGATATGTAAATGCATCATATTTGCATGATGCATTTACGCTGATTTGGCCCCTCGAATTCAAATATCTGCCTATTATATATTGTACAAGGAAAATTATTTATGTCTGAAAAGATAAAACTTTTCAAACGTTATGTTTATTATAATGGTAAGATCTTCAATGACCTATATCAAAAACAATAGGTTCCGACGTGAAGAATAAACAACACAACATACGCAGTTTTCCTTATCAAAATGTACAAAATAACAGGTCCATTACGTTTGAATGTCTAATGTTGATTAGTCTGTATATTACCTAACCCTTTGTAAACAACAAAAACAATTATAATACTAACGTTGTCTTCGATAAAGCATTGTAATAGGCTATGAATGCTTCTTCGTTTTATAAATCAGCACTCTTTATCATCTTTAGTAAAAATAGGCGACTTAATGTCATGCGTACGCTAAATTTTTATGATTACAAGAAATATAACCTTTGGAAAAAAGATATGTAGTATCTATGCCAGGGGTTCCTAAACTTTTAAGTTAATGGAACGCTCATCAATACCTTTTATTTTATGGAGCCCCATATCAAATGATTACAAATCAAAGAAAGTGAGTGACATTTAAATAAGAACAAAAACTTTTATTAGAAACATTTAGAAAAGTGAAACTTATCTAAATCTATCTAAGTGAAATCTTTTGTAAGTAAAATAATTAATTATTACGCCGCGGTATAGTCCCGGATGCCCGCTAACTACTTTTGTACCTACATAACAGAAAGGTAAGTCTCATAACATGTTTTGGACCATTTCAAAATAATATTTGTAAGTAACTGTGGAATTATTTAAAAAGCAAAACCAAATAATTTCGCGGAACGCTAGTGACTTTTCCACGGAACCATTAGGTTTCGAGGAACCCACTTTAGGTATATCTGATAATAATTTTAAACATGATCGTTTTCTAAGATAGATTTGTTCTTTGTAATATATAATTAAAATGCAAAATTTTTGCGAAGGCTGTATTTATTTTAACGTCGAAATTCAAAGGAAAATACAGGTGGAAGGGACTGGTCGCAATAGGCAGATATTTTATTCAACGCTATCTACCACGTGTGAAAAACTCAATTATAAGGGGTGCTCTGACCTGAAAACCATTTCGGACTTGTTAATATTTAAATCATACATCATTCGTTAATAGACTTTTCACACTATGGGTTTCAATGTGGAAATACAAATGGAAATCACCTTCTAATTAACTTTTCACCATTTATGTTTCACACAATAACAGTTTACTCTTACTGCTATTTGTCGTTCTGCTATAAGACGATCTTTGTCGGAGGTTTTTATAAAAAAAAATATGTAATATCAACTAATGATGATGAATTAGGTGCAAACTTGGCTAACATTAATGTAACAATAAAGATAACTTTATCAACATAGATAAGATTTGCTCGGATAAGAGCGATCGAGTAAAAAGAAAAGTCATTCGCTCTGTTGGGCAAAATTTAGTCTTCCACAGGCAATATTTACTTCGGGTTCACGCCATATAATATAAAAAAGTTACTATATTACTTTAGGTACCATAATGAAATGCGTTTTGAACGAATCCATTAGCTTTCGAAAGATTTTTTTAATAATAATATTTTTTTAATAAAAACGATACCTCCACACTAGGATTTATTTATATATTTATTTATTTTTTCTGCTATGTCGTGGGGACAGTTTACACGCATAAATTTTGCAAGGACAAACATTCAGACCCGGAACAATTATTCATAGGCCATGCAATTATTTGTTCCGTGTGGGATTCGAACCCACAGCCCTCAGCGCTGCAACTTGCTGCCACTGCGCCACGGAGCAGTCTATTACTTTTTATACTTATTAAACTTAAATTACTTATTTAAATAAACCACTAATAGGACATTTTATTGTTTATGAGAGACAAGAGAAATGTGTGTACCAAAGCAACTCAAATGAGTGAAAACCTTCGTAAATCATTATTT